GTAAGTATGTACACATATATGTCCGAGGACATATGCAAATACGTGCGCAACAAGAAACGAACGGTTCAGGGCGGCGATTCTTTTACTTGCCAGGCTTTCGTGTGGGACAGGTCGTCCAGGTTCACGGTGTCCAATATGCTGTTTACCCGGTTACAATCCACCCTGTAACACGAGCTCCCATGGAGGTTTATCAGGGACTTGCTTGTTTCCAGTTTTCGAATCGTCATTTTGCCCCGATGCCTGATCAGAGATTGATCCACAGTCCTTTCCCCCAACTCTCCACACCACGCCACCAGAGCAGCCAGGCTGTCAAATGAAGTCGCCTACGAAATATTTTCACTTGAACTTGCACGTCCTATATCTTAAGGTGGTAGATTACCCAAAAATCGACGCACACAGGCGCTACCCCTTTGTGGATTCATCAGAGATAGCAAAGGAAGGTGATCCAACCGCAAACGATGGATGGGGCATGGGGAGCCGCTGGGTTCCCTCTGGCTGGTCAGTGGCTGTACCCCTTGATACCCTGTTGACCAGCTGGACCCGCTGGGTCAGGCCGCGTTTCTAGACGCGAGATCGGTGCCGGTGGCTATTCTGACGGCCGAGAAGCTGAAGAAGGAGTGAGAAGTGGCAGGAGCATTTGGCAGGACATGTGCCATGGTCAGCATTTATCATGGCAAGTCATGGTTTGTGCAGTTGAGCAAGAACGAACATGAGCCTCCACTTGGTTCTGTACATGACAAACACACATATCTATATATGAACATATACACGTACCAAGAAATGCCAGCCACTCAAAACCATTTTGCTAGGGAAGCCGTGACCCCATTCACCCCGTTTTTAACAGAAGCTTTGACACACATGGCCTTGCTAGTCTTCCATAGCGGACGTTCACCCGACATAGGTCGCAAGCCCTTGAGGTTGGCTGACGGTTTGCTGCGGGACCTCTAAACGATTCCCCGTCGCAACGTGCAAAGTCTATCGCCTTGTAGGCCTATCCACTGATCCAATGGGACTGATGATTGGCTTGTCCGGAGTTTCGTTCGAGTCATTGTATTTAACTGTAAATCTGAGTTACTTGAGGCCATGTGACTATGATAAGCCTTTTGAGCAACGCCGACCACGACCTTCAAGTCTCAACGGATGAAATATGTTTCGTGTCATGGTGTTGGCCACAGGCTTCGACCCGTTCGACCGATGAACTCGTCGATATGGTTTGTATCTTACCCTGAGATTGCATTCGTGAGAAGTTTGTTGTGTTGTACTCCGGGATGGCCTGGCAACTGGCCCAAAGAGACTCGAAAATAAAGTAAAATAAAACGGTTTGTCTGGAAATAGCCCTTAAATGGGGTACTTTCTTGGTGGTTGTAGACCTAGGGTCTGATACCAACACCCAGTATTTACCGTCATCCACTGTGGTGAAGGGAATCCGGCACACTAACCGAAGTTGTTTTCCCGAGTCCTGTGGCAAATGGTGGGAGCATTGCTGTTGACTGCTCAGGTGCAAGTGTCGGCCCTTGGACCTGTAGGTTCCGAGCATCAGCTTGGCCAAGCCACGGCGACGTCATTTTCCAGCTCGCCGTTTCATCCCACTGGGTCGCTTCCTGCAGCCGGCAAAGCCAGGGCTTGCTACAAGAGCATGGTCGTATACTGCCGGCCAGCCGATTTTGGGCGGAAGTCAAGGTTTGTGCTAGAACTAGTTTTTGGGCGGAAAGCCCTTTTACTCTTTTTGGGGGCAGGGTTCCCCTACTAAAATAGACTACAGAAAAAAGTTGGTACCCTTATTCTAATCTCTCTACTGGACGTCCTAGGTGATAGAAGCGATTATTCTGCCAGCGCCATGCATGCTGTTTGTACTCTGTGTCTATATTTGATCCACCCCACCGTCCTGAGCCTTAGTATCGAGGGCGCGGTTTCAACCACACCCTGAATGGATTGAAGATTGAGGGCTCTCAAACAACGCATATGTTGGAGCCTCAAACTCCACCAGGAGCCTCAGGCAATGATTTCTTGTGCGCGAGTTGAGGCAAGCCCTGTGGCTACAGATGTTTGAAGACCTGGTCATGGATATGCCAACCTCGGATGCTTTACTCTTTCAATGGTTGTTGTTGGGAAACATTTTACATTTTTGCTTTGTGTGGTTTAGTGGGAAATCCCCACTCAACTGCTAAAATTCAAATTGTTGCTTCCCTTTCAACGTCAACCAAGGCATCTCCCCCTCATTTGTCGGGCTTGAGCGCCAGCAAGCTGATCTAGTGGAGCATTCCGAGGTTGACGTTCGGCTGGTGTGCTTGTGAAGATTCGCACGGGAGCTTCGGAGGGGTAGAATGATTTTAGCTTCGTCGCTGTGGCTCAAACGCGGCAAATAATCCCTTCACTCTGGTTGGCTGACCTTTCATGTGCATGTTTGTGCTGGAAATGCCAAGGTCAAAGCAACTAGCGCATACTATGTTGGCTCGCTAATCTGCAAAGGGGAATGCACAACTACCACCATCAGGATTGA